GAATCTATTGAATTTTTTTTATTGGAGTATAGTTGATTTACAATGTTACATTACTTTCTGCTGTATAGCACAGTGAATCAGTTATACATATATCCACTCTTTTTTAGATTTTCCCATATGTCATTACACAGTATTGAGTAGTTCCCTGTGCTATACAGTAGGTCCTTATTCGTTATCTATTTTATATATAGTAGTGTGCATATGTCATTCCCAATCTCCCAGTTTATCCCTCCTCCCTGTTTCCCCCCGTAACCATAAGATTGTTTTCTACATCTGTAACTCTATTTTTATTTATAAATAAGTTCATTTGTACCATTTTTTTAGATTTCACATATAAGCAATATCATATGATATTTGTCCTTCTCTGCTTTCACTCAGTGTGACAATCTCTTGGTCCATCCGTGTTGCTGCAGATGGCATTATTTCATTCATTTTTATGGCTGAGTAATATTTCATTGTATATATGTAGCACATCTTCTTTATCCATTCCTGTCGATAGGCACTTAAGTTGCTTCCATGTCCTGGCTATTGTAAATAGTGTTGCAGTGAACTTTGGGGTGCATGTATCTTTTCGAATTATGGTTTCCTCCAGATATATGCCCAGGAGTGGGATTACTGGGTCATATGGTAGCTCTGTTTTTAGTTTTTTAAGGAACCTCCGTACTGTTCTCCATGATGGTTGTACCAATTTACATTCCTACCAATGAGGTGGATAACCTCATTGTAGTTTTGATTTGCATTTCTCTAATAATTAGTGATGTTGAGCATCTTTTCATGTGCTTTTTGGCCATCTGTACAGTATGGACCATCCATGTGGATCTTACTCTGTCTTGCCTGCCACAGACCGCTTCCTGCACTCTCCTCCGGATCCCAGAAGCTCCCTCTCTGTCCCAGCTGATCCCCCTGCCACCGGTGAGGGGGCTTCCCTGAGTGCAGGAACCTTTCCTCTCCTATAGCTCCCCCCCGCCAGGGGTGCAGGTCACGTCTCGTTGCCTCTTTTTTTTCTTTCTTTCATCCTACCCAGTTGTGTGGGGATTTTTCTTGTCCTTTTAGGTGTCTGAGGTCCTCTGCTAGTGTTCAGCAGGTGCTCTGTGAGAATCGTTTCATTTGTAGATGTGTTCTTGATGTACTTGTGGGGAGAGGTGAACTCCACATCCTCCTATTCTGCCATCTTGGCTCTAACTCCTGTGTTGAACTTTCAAATGCACGTACACTTTGATTTAGCAGTCATGTCTAAGAACACATCCTGTAGAAATCATGGCATGAGTATGTAAGATTTGTGTAAAAGTGATTTATTCTATCAACCATTGTTGATAACAGAAAAAGAGTAGTCTGAATAGCCTTTGGTGAGCAAATGGTTAAATAAGTCTGTGTACTTTCATACGATGAAGTACGAGGCAGCCACTTTGTTAAATGAGGTAAATCTGGGTATCTTTACCTGGAAGGAATTCCACATTAGGTAGCTGAGTGGGGAGAAGCCGACTAAGTTTTATCCCAATATTGGCCTGATTCTGTATATTGCCTTTTAATAATAACCTGTGTATGTGAATACGTGTAAACAGATGTGTCTCTATAAGCATGCAGAAAAGTTCGGAAGGATCTACACCACCAGGGTAGAGGTAGGGATGGAGGGGCAAAGACAAGAAAATTCATCACTGCCCTTTGAAAGGGCAATGGTGAGGATAGGACTGAACGAGGCAGGCGAGTGTGAGCTGTGGGTGTAGGTTACTGTGGATATGTTTGATCGGGAAGGAAGCAGGAGGGACAGGCATGGCGGTACAAAAGATTTGAGGCGTTGTTGTTGTTATGTAGGATAGGAGAAATTTGAGTCTGTTTGTACGCCAAGGAAAGGGAGACAGTACAAAAAGAAAAAGTTGTGGTAATCAGAAGAGTGTGGTAGTAGTGGACTTAGTAAGAAATGAATGATCCTTCTTTCTCTGGGGTTCAGAGGGTGAGTCCAGAACTCCAAGCAGGTGGCCCCCATGAAGATAGAAAAGACCACATACAAAGAGTAGGGGATGCAAATGGGTGATGTTGGGAATGGAAGAAAATGGGAAACAATGGGAACAGCTAGGAGATGTGCTAAATCTGCCGGTTTGGTCATCCACCTCCTACTTGTGGGACCAGAATTTCTGGGAATGAAGCCTAGGAAACTGCACTGTTAACATGTCTATCACAGATGCTTAGGCCCAACCCATAAGGTTCAAGAACCACTAGTGTAGATTATGAAGCGGAGCTTTTCGGTTGGGCCAGGTTTGGGGCGCAAGTGGAAACAAGGAGTGTGCTGCCTTTTCTTCCTTACCAGGCAAATCTAGAAAGAAACTTACCCACAAAGCCTCTCTGAAGAAGAGGCTTCAAGAGGAAATCAGTTTCAGTAAAGTCAAAGGAATGGAAAGAGCAGAATGGGAACTAGCTGGGCTATTTTTAATGTCTGTTTCCAAACTGTCCACATGGATTCCTTCCATAGTTATCAAAAGACCCAGGAGTCAGTCTGCCCGTCTGTTGCGGGCAGGTTAAGGTTTATTGCCATCAATTGCCACTCGATCAATGGAAATGGCGTAAACACCTCTCTGTGCGTATGTATGGAGATTTGATAAAGATTTATACACGTATATATGTTAAGTGTGTATGTTTATTTCAAGTCTGAAATAGCCTTCTTTGAAGGAGTTGTCCTGAAGGTGATTCTATTGTAGTCATGCTCACAGTGCCCTTTCACTTCTGGACAGCGTTCACGGTGTTGTTATTTTAACATCTCAACTACACCAGCTTAAAACTTGGGTATATTTTTGCAGCTATGGGCATAAGGGGGCCTTTGTGCTTTTGACTGTATTCCACAAGGATGCCTCTCTGTCCTGGAGCCAGATGGGAGCATTGCAGACGGAGGTGCAGGCACTGGAAATCCTACAGGTGGTAGCAAGCAAAGCAGTGCCAGAGGAGGAAGCCACGTTGCCCCGAAGCAAGAAGACAGAGCACTTTGCAAACAGGAGGCTCTGAGGGTCAGCTTAATAGGGACAGAAGTGCACCAGTCCAGCTGACCGGGTGAAGAGTAGGACGCAGAAGGGGAGGTGCCTGAGGAGGGCTCAGCCGGGCTGGGGAGGGATTGGGTGCCGGGGCTGGGATTTGAGGATAGGTGGGAAGTCGGGAGGTAGCGGGGGGGTGGGGGGGAACGCTATTTTTTAAGCAGATGATTCAGTTAGGGTAGAATCGTGTGAGACAGTTTGCTCCCCTGCCCACCCGCCCCCACGCTGTCTCCTCTGTGGTTAGAACGCGCCTACCCGAGGGCCTGGGTTGTAGCTCATTAGCCCCAGCCGTCGCCTGTGCCTCTTACTCTGCGTTTGCTTGTACTGCCCGCGCAGTTACTCTCTAGTAGTGCCTCCTAACCGGCACTAAGTAACTTTAACTAAAACCCTGTCTCCTCTGATAACTTTGAACTCTGCCATGTATTCTCCATAATTCCTAAACAGTCAACTTTACATACATCTCAGTATTTCTCTCCAAAGTCAGAAGCAAATGCTTGTTATACTGTTCCTTGGCAGACTCGCAGGCATTAATGGTGGCCATGTAGTGCCTTTCTCCAAATCTGCCTCGCGTCCCTCCCTCTCCCCTGCCCGCCCCCCCCCCCACTGTTTATTCCCAAGGACTTTGTGGACACTTTCCACGATAGAACTGCTACCTTAAAAAGCTTTGGATAGAATATGGCTCCGAGTCACACTGCCTGTAGAGGTTTATGTACCTGACTGTGACGTGTGAGGTCAGCAAGACGTTTCTAAGCTGGGGCACTTTCCAGGTGTCCTTGGGATAAAGATACCACGTTTGACCAGAGAAAGCTATTTACAGATGGTCTGTCTGGAAGAAGCCATTCTCAGCTTTGGATGACTTGGTGCTTATTCTGTGGCTTACCGTTTGAATAACATTTCATGTTCTCTTTCTAATCCTTTTTCTCTTATTCCTTTTATCCAAAAAGTCATGAATCTAGAAATGTTAACTGAACTTACCAGATTCAGGAAGGTTTGATGAGCCTTAATTATCAATCCTGGAGAAAGTGTCTTTGTTTAATCAGAAACAATAGGATTTCTGTGTTGCTTCTTATCTACTCTCTAAAGCTAACATACGTTTTGTTGTTGCTAATATTTAATTAATAGTTGAACCTAGGAAAATGAAGAGGGGTTGAGTGTCTTAACATTTAGAGAGGAAGTTGAATATGAAATGTCTTTCCTAGAAGAACAGTCTTCCTAGATTGGATTGTTTGGCAGAAGAGCCAAATCTGAGTTTCCGCTGCCGGGAGGGGTGCTCGGGAGCAGAGAACTGAATGCCTGTTCTCTTATATGGGCCTCGTGGAGACCCTAAGAGGTGGGCACGGTGGCCACATTTTAGGGATAAAGAACTAAAGCTGAGGGGCTTCCTTGGTGGCGCAGCGGTTGAGAGTCCGCCTGCCCATGCAGGGGACGCGGGTTCGTGCCCCGGTCCGGGAAGATGCCGCAGAGCGGCTGGGCCCGTGAGCCATGGACGCTGAGCCTGTGCATCCGGAGCCTGTGCTCCACAACGGGAGAGGCCACGACAGTGAGAGGCCCGCGTACCGCAAAAAAAAAAAAACTAAAGCTGAGTGAGGACAGACTTGCCAGGGGTCACCTAGCTTTTGAGAGTGGAAGAAGAATTCAAAGTCAAGTCTCCCTGTATTCACTACTCCACACTGTCTCCATAAAAACGGAAATATGCTTCACCATCAACTAGCCCCTTAGTGGTACTGGATTTTCACTGTGCTACTCAACAGCTTGAAGAATTTACTACCTGTCTGTTTTTCCCATGTAAAAGCATGCAAGTGTTTACTCGGGAATGCTAAATCTAGCTGTTCTGCTTTCTTTTGTTCTAGATTTTCTACCCTAGCAAGGATGGTACAAAGATTCCAATGTTCATCGTGCATAAAAAGGGCATAAAATTGGATGCCTCTCATCCCGCTTTCCTATATGGCTACGGCGGCTTCAACATATCTATCACACCTAACTACAGGTAAGCGTGGCACCTCGGAACTTCAGCGCGCATCTGATCTTCTGCAGACAGTGAGGAGAAACCAGAGACTGGTCTACTGCCTCTGCACCAGAGCCCCATCCCCTTGGTCCCCAGAGGGGAACCTGGATGAAAACAACACTGATTCCTGAGCAGCTCTTACCTTTGTTCATTTGTGCAACGAGTATTCGTTAAGCCTGCTCTGTGTTGGGAAGTGAGACGAGTAAGGAAGTGTCCTTACACCATTTTCTTCCCTGAACCAGTGGATATGCTGGTAGTTTCAGTAGAGACCCTCCGAGGTATAGGAAAAATGTTGAAGAGAGGACCACATGGGTGTATGGTCTGTACCTACCTCAAACTCTCCTTTTCCTCTGATCTTCAACATCCAGGAAATTAGCAGCCAGCCCATCTTGAGCCTCAGGTTGCAGAAGCCCACAGTTTCCCCAGTTACTAAAAGGAAGAGTGAATAAATTTCAGAAATAGTTCTCAAAGCAAAATTAATTTTAGTTAACAGCAAACAGAAAAATAACCTCACTCAGTACTGTTAGGGTCAGAGTGGAACGAGAAGGAAGAAACATAAAATCCAAACTTTCTAAAGAAGCTCTGTGCTATAGTTTCTTCTGTTTATTTCTAGAAAACATTCTCTAGCCCTGGGCACGCGTTCTTATTTTCTGGTCAGTGTGCCTGATCTCCTCTACCTCTCTCACACCTAGTTTCAACGTCTAAATTTCTGTAAAACTGGAAAATCTGTTTAAAATTCATATTTCAGAAGGAGCTTTCTTTTTTCCACCTTGAACAATTTGGAGAGAGATACTGGGAGAGATGGTAGCAGGGGCTTTTACCGGGTGTGTAACGAGCACAGCACCATTCATACCAGGGCTGTGTCACGTGGGTGGCAGTATTTTGGTTGCCAAGACAGTTGTTTAAAATGAGGTCTACTGCATGCTCCTGAAAACGTATGAGCTTTGCAGTTAATCACTAGTCAGAAGTTATAACATTTCACTTAAACCGAGCAATGTAAAAGTACTGGGCTTCCATGTAGATGACAGCACGTGCGGAGCATCTTCAGGGCTATGTGTGCGGGTGCGGGTGCAGGTGTGGTGGAGGAGGACAGCGGCCCTCACTGGGCACAGGTAGTGGCAGGTTAACTGTTTTTACCATTTCTCAGTGTGTCCAGGCTCATCTTTGTGAGACACATGGGTGGTGTCCTTGCAGTGGCCAACATCAGAGGAGGTGGGGAGTACGGAGAGACGTGGCATAAAGGTGAGGTATTTTCTCTGCAGAAACGCAAATATGGCATAGCCCAAGCCGAGGGGATTAGGGGCAGAAAAGGATGCTTCCAAACACATTGCAGACACCATTCCCCCTTTCAATTGAAACAGCTCAGTCTTTTCAGTTTATTTTCCTTTGCAGTCTATTTTAATGAAGGACACCTTTTTCAGACGCATCTCCTACATACCATAATCAGGTTTTCTTGGGGTTTTTTTTTAGCAATGTATAGGGTGCATTTTTATCTATCACTGTCAGAAGTGAGTCTGGGGGATACTTTTGGTATTTATTGTGTCTCCTTCTCCTGTTAGCCTGGCTTTTTACTGTTTAGCATTATTGGCTATCTCAAAACAGACTGCAAAAACAGGCCATTTTCTCTTAAAAGAAAAGAGCACTCTAAAATAGAGCTTTCCTATTCCCAGTTCGGGCGTCTTTTGCTTGTTTTCTCTGATCTTCCCAACGTTGCTAAGAAATAGCATCCTCCTAGTGTTGCTGCTGGGACTCTAATAAAACCTGCACGTGCTAGATAAACACAAGAACACAGTCAGTTTTCTTTTCTGGTTTTAACGGTTCAGTCCCTGTTCTCTGGCCTCCTGAAGCATGTATTCTAGTTGATTGAGGAAACTGCTCCTATATTCAACTTTATTCCCCAGATTATCATTCTTTAAAAAAAAAATTATGGCAATCTTTATTTTTAAAGCCCCATCTCTTCCTTTTCTCTCTATACGGAGCACACCCCATCTCCCAGGCTTTTGTGTATCTGGAATGCATAGACTAACCAATAACTTGAAGAAGATGTTCTTCCCTTACCTTATTCCTGTGTTTGTGGGAGGAGGGTGTGGGAAGCCCCTTCACTCCCACTGGCTCCCTGCTTCTCCCCTCTCAACATCAGGCGTCCTGTGTAAGACAGTCTGCGGGCACAAGGGCGGCCCCCAGGGCTCAGGCTTGGCCAGCAGCACATGGCAAGGAGGCTCTTCTCCTGCAGCAGGAGCATCCGAGACCACCCTTTGGATCCGTACACCCACTTGTTCTTCTCTACCTCCTAAGGCCAAGGCTCTGGTTTTCTGCATCGATCAGATCAGCAAAGATGAGGGTAGATCTGTAAAGAGCTTTTTTCATAAGCACCTGTTAGATGTCAGGAGGCAGGAAAGGCCCAAGCCTAAATCCTCGGTCTTCAGCATGCACCCCAAGGACTGATGTCAGACAGCAAACTATTTGAGCATCTTAGCAAGAGTGAGTGTCCCTAATGAACACATGGGCCCCCAGCCTGCCAGCCGTCGTCGGGCCAGCTGCTGCCAGGTGTCATCCTTGAAGGCTTTATTGATTGTCACTGTATTTGAAACAGCATAGAATTCATTGTATAGTTTTGACTTGGACCTGATATTAGAGTTTAATTACACTAAAATCATAGTGATATCTTACTGTGATAGTAAGAGATAACTAAGAAAGGAGGAATAAAAGTAAAATCTCTACACACCTTATGTTGGATGTACATCCCAAATCCATATGCTAAGTCTGAACCCCCTGACTCCCCCAATTTCCTGGTTAAAAATGTTTAATGTACACACTTAAACACCCACCTGCACGGACTCCTGACCCAGTGGCCTTCTCCTCAAAGAACCCAAGTTCTTTGCCATAGAATTCCTCTGGTCCTCAGGTGTCCACCATGCTCTGGTAGGGAAGAGTGCCCTTGGTCTTGGTCAGCTCTTTCATCTCTGTATTAATTATAACCAAGTTATTATCCAGAAGTCTTGGGGGGTGGGGGAGTTTGCAGCTTGACTGAAGCTAAAAGTTGATTACCTCTGTTTAGACTGATCATAAACTTTCTCCTAATTTAGGCAGTGAAAGGGCCTGAAATGGAACTTTTCTAGTTAGACCCTAGCACACTGAACCTCGATAAATCTAGATTTCATTCTGTTAATTGAGTTTAAAATTTAATGCTCTTCAAAATATTATTATTCCTGGAAACTAAGTAATCCTAGCCATCTTAATTCACCAATACTTTCTTATTAAAATCTTAATAACATTTGTTTTGATATGAAAAAATTTCTTCTGAAAAAATTTCTTCAGTAGCGCTGCTTCATCTTTAATTGAATTTCTGCAAAAATGGTTAATCTCAAATAGCTAATTAGATCTATGTCTGCTTTTTGTTCATTTCATTGGCAGTTATTTCAGACATCCGTTCCTTTGCGGGCATGACTTTGACTTTTGGCCTTTTGGATTTACAAGGCCTTACAAATGTTCCTCTCTTTAAGTAGTTTCTTTGTTTGGCTCTACACTGGAATGGCTTCTAGATGAGAAAGCCCAGATTCTCTGAGGAGATGCTTGAGATCCTCTTCATTCAAGCATAGAGAAACTAATGGGCTGCTCTGTGCAGCACCACGTCCCCACCTAATTCCTACCTAAGTTCCTTAAGTACCCGTGGGCAAAGTCAGAGAGCTTCCTTCTCGTAATCACGTCCCCACCTCAGACTCCGGCAGAGAGGAGGGGTGAGAAGTGCACCTCTCTGCACAGAGCACTTTCTTTATTTTTTAATTAATTAATTTATTTTATATTTTATTTTTGGCTGCGTTGAGTCTTCGTTGCTGTGCACAGGCTTTTCTCTAGTTCTGGTGAGCAGGGGCTATTCTTCGTTGTGGTGCGCGGGCTGCTCATTGCGGTGGCTTCTCTCGTTGCGGAGCGCAGGCTTCAGTAGTTGTGGCGCACGGGCTTAGTTGCTCCGTGGCATGTGGGATCTTCCTGGGCCAGGGATTGAACCCGTGTCCCCTGAACTGGCAGGCAGATTCTTAACCACTGCACCACAGGGAAGTCCGCGCAGAGCACTTTCATCTTCCCAGGGAGGGGGCAGCGCACTCGTCCCCATTGTCGCATGCTGTGTGGAACTCGAGGACTGGACTCTGCTCCAGGTCTTGTGTCAGTTTTGAGTCCAGCTCCTCCCAAGACACATGTTCTTTTTGTTGACATGCTTTCACATTTTCATTCTCATGGTTGTCTGACGTCATAACAGATCATCTCTTCCCTTTGGGGCATTTGCCTTTTAAGTTCTAAGAGGTTTTAGAAAAATACAAAGGCACCGTATGGATTAGCAGTTGTGGTACTGATAATGGATTGCCACAATGCATAACAAAATTTAAATTGAGGCATTTTTCTAAATGTAGTGGTAGTCCATTGTTTAAGTTGATCAGTAGTTGAAACTATGCCCTATCATCATTTGAATTCCCCTTAGGTTAAAATGTGACTTTTTTTTTTTTCTGTTTTGTTAATTAACTGTCTTTCACTTTGGCACATTGTAGGTGGTATCTTGGCCAACAAACAAAACTGCTTTGATGACTTCCAGTGTGCTGCTGAATATCTTATCAAGGAAGGTTACACGTCTCCCAAGAGGCTGACTATTAATGGAGGTTCAAATGGGGGCCTCTTAGTAGGTGAGAACTGGGTTTCTTATTCATTGTACTTTACTAGTTAACTCTTGGAGTTTTCAGGTACTCTGATTTACTTTGGCTCACGGATGGGAGCAGTGGTACAGAAAAAGCAAAACCCATTTGTATTTGGGCATCTAATTAATGACATTTGAAGACACAACTACTGACTCAACTCATCATAGCCTGAAAAGCCCTTCCTCCTCCCTGTTCTGAGCTCTATCGGACTGGACCGCAATTCTTACCCTTCCCTCTCCCGCTCCCCACAGACTGGACCCACAGGTCTCTAGGGTTCAGTCAGCACATGCCTGAGCCTAATAACACACCTCTGACTGTTACCCAGAACTTGTAAGCTGTGATCACCACTAAACGTTTGTTGAATACTTATGCCATGGGATGCTAGATGCTGTGGGTTCAGAGAAATAAGTCATGAAGGACAATGAGGTACATGCAAAGATGGATCCACAGCTTCACAGTCATGAAACAGTTCACAGTAATGTTCACCCTTGCTGAGCACCTTGCCAGGCTCAGTGCTGAGCCCTTGACATGCACATGGCCTGGGAGACGGGGACAGGTATTATCCCCATTTTACAGACGAGGACACTGGGGCACTGAAGGGGTTGAGTAGCTAGTGTGATGGTAGTGCTGGTGTTGATGCTTAGCACCGTGGCTTTAGATTCTGCTCTTTTAATCTCTATGTGGCACTGCCTCTAAGTGGATTTTCCTATTTTGGTAGTTAATGAATTTTTACTTTTCTTTTCGTCTCTCAACAGTACTTAACATTGTAATGAACATTTATAGTGGTCCTGAACTTTGCTTGCTGGGTCCTACACCCAGTGTCATTAGGATACGAGGGGCCGTTGTACAAATGGAGAAGAGCACAGATAGACTCAACCTAAAAAGCACATGTGACCATTTTTAGCTTTCCGTCCACTGTTGTCAGGGGATCTTGTCACATTCACTCCATTTCCTTGTCTTTGAAATTTACTGACTTGTGTCAAAACCTGAATTCCTGTCCTTATTACTTCTTTACCCCAATGGAATATAGTCTTGGAAAAAACATTTTCCCAGGGAGGTAAAATATATATATGTCCAAATAATTTGTTTAAATTTGGAAAGGGTAGAGATGTGGCCGAGATGGCAAAGTAGGAAAACCCCTGAGCTCACCTCCTTCCACGGGCACACCCAAATTACAACTATTTACAGAACAACTATGTATGAGAACAACCTGAAGACTAATAGAAAAGATTTTCCACAACCAAAGATATAAAGAAGGAACCACAATGAGATGGGTAAGGAGGGGCAGATGCACAGTATAGTCAAGACCCACAACCTCGGGCAGGCAAACCACAAACGGGAGGATAATCACAACTGCTGAGTTCCTTCCCAAGGAGAGAGGGGTTTGAGACCCACATCAGGCTCCCCGGTCCAGAGGTCCTACACCAGGAAAATGAGCCCCTAGAACATCTGGCTCTGAAGGCCAGCGGGGCTTACTTTGATGAGAGCCAGAGGGCTGTGGGAAATAGAGACTCCACTCTCAAAGGGTGCACACAAAATCTCACATGCTCTGAGTCCTGGCACAGAGGCAGTCATTTGAAAGGAGCCTGGTCAGATTCCTTTGCTAACCTTGAAGAGCCTCCCAGAGGGGCAGGAGGCAACTGGGACTCCTACTGGGGACACAGGTGCTGGTGGCAGACATTTTGGGGAACTCGTTCTACCACAGGGACACTGGTGCTGACAAGCACCATTCTGGATCCTCTCTCTGGCTGTTAGCACTCCACCACCAGCAGACTGGCACCAGCTCTGGTCATGCAGAGATCAGACCTTGCCTATCAGCATGCCCAAAGTAGTTGGCCCTGCCCCAACAGAAGGGCCCGTGCAGCCTACATAGGAGGCACCCCTAGAGCATGTAACTCTGGTCACCAGAGGGAAGTCTGCTGCTGGGCCCTACAGGCTATCACCTATATTAAGGATACTTTACTTATCCAAGCTCAGAAAACATAACCAACCTACCTAATACACAGAAATAAACACAGAGAATTAGGCAAAATTAGAAGACAGAACTATGTTCTTAAACGAAGGAGCAAAACCCCAGGAAAAGAACTAAGCAAAGTGGAGATAAGTAATCTTATCCAATAAAGAGTTCAGGTAATGATTACAAAGATGCTCAACAAACTCAGGAGAAGAATGGATGAAGACAATGAGACATTTAACAGAAAGTCAGAAAATATAAAGAGCCGAAAAGAGGTGAAGAATACAATAACTGAAATAAGAAATATACTAGTAGGGATCAACAATAGATTAGATGATGCAGAGGAATGGATCAGAGACCTGGAAAACAGAATAATGAAAATCATCCAAGCTGAACAGAAAAAACCATTCTAAAAAATGAGAATAGCTTAAGAGACCTCTGAGGCAACATCAAGCAAACTAACATTCACATTTTAGGGGACCAAGAAGGAGAACAGAGAGAGGGGCAGAGAACTTATCTGAATAAATAGCTGAAAACTTCCCTAACCTGGGAAAGGAAACAAACATCTAGGTTGAGGAAACTCAGAGAGTCCCAAATAAGGTGAACCCAAAGAGGTCCACACCCAGACACAGAGACTCTTAAAAGGAGCAAGAGAAAAGCAACTGGTTATTTATAAGGGAACTTCCCTGGCTCTAGAAGAAATGTTAAAAGGCCTTCTCTAAGTGGAAAAAAAAAGACCACAACTAGAAATATGAAAATTATGAAAGGAAAAAAAACTCATTAGTAAAGGTAAACATCAAGATAGTAGATCAGCTACTCACAAAGTCAGTAAGAAGTTTAAAAGACAAAGTAGTAAAATCATCTATATTCACAATAGTAGTTAAGTTGATACACAAAACAAAAAATTTTAAAATATGACATCAAAACATTAAATATGGCAGGGGGGAATATAAATGCAATATTAGAGAGTATTCAAAGTTAAGAGATCATCAACTTAATCACAAAGATATATAGGTGGTTACGTATGAGCCTCCTGATAACCAAAACCAAAAATCAATAGTAGATACACAAGCAAAAAAGAGAAAGTAATCCAAACATAACACTAAATATAGTCATTACATCACAAGGGAAGAGAGCAAAAAAGGAACAAAAAAGAACTACAAAAACTACCAGAAAACAGTTTTTTAAATGGCAGTAAGTACATACCTATCAACAATTAATTTAAACCTAAATGGACCAAATGGTCCAATCAAAAGATAGAATGGCTGAATGGATAATAAAATAAGACCCAACTATATGCTGCCTACAAGAGACTCACTTCAGATCCAGAGACAGACACAGACTGAAAGTAAGGGGATGGAAAAAGGTATTCTATGCAAATGGAAACAAAAAGGAAGCTGGGGTAGCAATACTCAGACAAAATAGATTTAGACAAAGTTTGTAACAAAAGACAAGAGCATTACATGTGATAAAGGGGTCAATACAAGAAGAGGATATAACATTCACAAATATTTATGCACCCAGGAGAAAAGGGAACCCTCCTACACTGTTGGTGGGAATATAAATTGTACAACCACCATGGAGATCAGTATGGAGTTTCCTTAAAAAACTAAAATAGAACTATGATATGATCCAGCAATTACACTCCTGGGCATATGTCTGGAGAGAACCATAATTTGAAGAGATACATGCACCCCAGTGTTCACTGTGGCACTACTTACAATAGCCAAAACACAGAAGCAACCTAGTTGTCCATCGACAGAGGAATGGATAAAGACAACATGGTACATATATACAATGGAATATTACTCATCCATAAAAAAGAATGAAATAATGCCATTTGCAGCAACTTGGATGGACCTACAGATTGTCAAACAGTGCAGTAAGTCAGACAGACAAATAGCAATATGATATCACTCATATGTGGAACCCCAAAGAAACGATACAAATGAACTTGTTTACAAAACAGAAGCAGATTCGCAGATCTCAAAATCAAACTTATGGTTACCAGAGGGGAAAGGTGTGTGGTGGGGGGGATAAATTAGAATTTTGGGATTAACAAATACACACTACTATATATAAAATAGATAATCAACAAGGACCTAATGTATAGCATAGGAAACTCTACTCATATTCT